CAGTGGACTGTTGTGTTGTCCAGGTCCAGTAGACTGTTGTGTTGTCCAGATCCAGCAGACTGTTGTGCTGTCCAGGTCCAGCAGACTGTTGTGCTGTCCAGTTCCAGTAGACTGTTGTGTTGTCCAGGTCCAGTAGACACTAAAAACGTTTGATTTTATATAAATTGTCAGTAGATTTTCCCCATTTCAAGGTTATAACAATATGAACACAACTGTCAATGTCTGCTGCTGAACATTCCTGATTCAAAATTGTGAAATGACACGAATGGCACTCAAAGTTTAATGAACCTGCTCCGATAGGCACCATCTCTTATAGGATCCATCTCTTATAGGCACTATCTCTTATAGGCAATATCTCTTATAGGCACTATCTCTTATAGGCACTATCTCTTATAGGCACTATCTCTTATAGGTACCATCTCTTATAGGCACTATCTCTTATAGGATCCATCTCTTGTAGGATCCATCTTTTGTAGCACCATCTCTTGTAGGCACAATCTCTTATAGGAACAATCTCTTATGGGCCCCATCTCAAAAAGACACGATCTCCTATGGGCATCATCTCTTATGTGCACTTTCTCTTATAGGCATGATCTCTTATGGGCACCATCCCTTTTTGGCACCATCTCTTATGGGCACCATATCTTATTGGCATGATCTCTTTTGGGCACCATCTCTTATCGGCACGATCTCTTATGGGCTCCTTCTCTTATTGGCAAGATCTCTTATGGGCAACATCTTTTATAGGCTAAATCTCTTATGGGCAACATCTCTTATAGGCACAATCTCTTATAGGCACCATCCGTTAAAGGTACCATCTCTTTTAGGCACGATCTCTAATGGGCACCATCTCTTATAGGCACCATCTCTTATAGGCACGATCTCTTATGGGCACGATCTCTTGTAGGAACCATCTCTTATGGGCATCATTTCTAATGGGCACCACTTCTTATAGGCACCATCTCTTGTAGGCACCATCTCTTGTGGGAACCATCTCTTATAGGCACCATCTCTTGTGGTCACCATCTATTAGGGGCATCATTTCTAATGGGCACCATCTCTTATAGAAACCTTCTCTTGTGGGCACCATCTTTTATATGTCGATTTTCACGTGGGTTCCTTGTACAAAGACACGTGACTTGTGCATCAACATATCAGTCGGTCAATCTAGGTCCTTGAAATGTCTCAATTCACAGACTTGCCCCACGACAATGAACTTATGACGGCTACGTTACCAGACTTTTGTTCGACTGTTAAGTGCTATCCTCACAATAGTTGGTCTTAATGGCTGGCGTGTTCTGTGAACAATGCATTGAGTGGGTCTAACTGGCTGGCGTGTTCAGTGAATAATGTATGGAGTAGGTCTAACTGGCTGATGAGTTCAATGAACAATGCATTGAGTAGGTGTAACTGGCTGGCGTGTTCAGTGAACAATGCATGGAGTAGGTCTAACTGGCTGACGTAATTAATGAACAAAACAATGAGAGGGTGTAACTGGCTCATGTGCTCAGTGTACAATGCATTGAGTTGGTCTAATTGGCTGATGAGTTCAATGAACAATGCATTGAGTAGGTGTAACTGGCTGGCGTGTTCAGTGAATAATGCATTGAGTAGGTGTAACTGGCTGATGTGCTCAGTGAACAATGCATTGAGTAGGTCTAATTGGCTGATGAGTTCAATGAACAATGCATTGAGTAGGTGTAACTGGCTGGCGTGTTCAGTGAACAATGCATTGAGTAGGTCTAATTGGCTGATGAGTTCAATGAACAATGCATTAAGTAGGTCTAATTGACTGATGAGTTCAATGAACAATGCATTGAGTAGGTCTAATTGGCTAGCGTGTTCATTGAACAATGCATTGAGTAGGTGTAACTGGCTGATGTGTTCTATGAACAATGCATTGAGTAGGTCTAACTGGCTGATGAGTTCAGTGAAGAATGCATCTAAATCGATTATTTTTAACAGCTGTTTCCAAACATTGACTGGATCGAATTCAACATCGATACCGAAGTGATCTTAACAAGCCTTTAAAATGACAGCTTTGGATGCCAAAAGTGATCTTAACAAGCCAGTAAAATGACAGCATTGGATGCCAAAAGTGATCTTAACAAGCCAGTAAAATGACAGCTTTGGATGCCAAAAGTGATCTTAACAAGCCAGTAAAATGACAGCATTGGATGCCAAAAGTGATCTTAACAAGCCAGTAAAATGATATCATTGGATGCCAAAAGTGATCTTAAAAGATCTTAACATGCCAGTAAATTGGTATCTAGATCTGACTGTAAATTTCCTCCCGACGTATTCAATACAAAAAGCGTGGAGAGTGGCAATTATTGGCTCTAATATAAGTCTTTAATGACAGTAGAAGCATATATTCCGATGCAAAAACAATCTCATTTATATCATCTGATCATTCACAACAGTCGCCTGCTCTTAGGAAAGTTGTTTTTAAATTCACGTATTGATGAAAATAGAAAATAACAAAACTGATTCTGGCAGATAAATTAAATATTTTGACAAGACGTTTACATCTTAGAATTAAAAATTGCCCCTGCTGTTTATTTTTTTGTTTATAAAAACTCCAATCCCGTTTTTTATTATATGGTTTCCCTAAGTCCAGTCAGGCATTCTAGTCTTATGTATTTCACACTTTGACTAGGATCGTCAGACATTCTATAGAATGTCCGGATTAAAGAACTTTGCCTGTAACATATAGAAAGACTTATTGTTAGCTACGGACGTCCAACCTGGACACTTTTGTGTTCTTCTTGTAAAACAGGCTTATTCTTGATTCGCTTACTTCTATTGTTGTAACAATGGCACCGTGAAATTTAGTCAGGAGATTATAGCTAACTAAAGACTAATAAAAACACTCAACTCCACAACTCCACTAAAACTCCGAGCCAAGGAAAGAACTCTTACATGTATAAGTAGAATGATGTTTTCATAAATATTCTTTGAAATTTCTCTTAAGATATAAACAAATGGAGGTCAGATAACAAGTTCTTCTTATCTTACCTTAATTTTACTGGAGTCTAAAAATTAACGCCGGTAAAAAAATGAAAGAAAAAACAAACAACAAATTATGTACTGTCTAGCTTTAGTTTTGTCCAATGAAAATGAGCCTCATTCATTTGCTTGAATATTAAATAACTTAAAACTTGTGCTAAGAATTATGTCTGAAAACAAAGCTTGGACGGCTTGGTACTTACAGATTTGCTCAAATCAGTCGTCTCCAGACAGTGACATGTGGCCCATTCAGTTCACTAAGATTACATTTGTCGCATTGCCTGCCGACTTGGGGGACCCGTCCTGAACACTCGTCACGAGGTGCCAACTGAACTCAGTCGCTGAAGGTGGTGGGGGTGGGTGAGGTAGATGACCATAGCACTGGTGACCTCAAGTTCGCCGTATTTAAGCGTGGCGATCTCCGTCGTTGTCTCTGACTGAGGGCAGGCAGCGGCGGTCATGCCCGAGGGACGAGATTCTACAGCATTGTTTGAGACAGACTAACAATAACATTGGCTGAGAAAGACTAGCAATAACCTATAAGGTATTTGTTGTTTCAAAATGTTTGAATATTCTTTAAAGTCAATAATAAATGACACCTTATTTTCAGTTTTTTTTTTTTTTTTTTTTATAGCAGCTACTGATATATAGGTATGTATTTATTTTCCTTCTTATACATTGGTGTGTATTTTTTTTCCATTTTATATATATTTGTTGGTTCTAAATGTTTGAATTTTTTTTAAAGTCAATAATAAATGGCACCTTTTTTTTAGTTTTTTTTTTTTTTTGTTAATAGCAGCTACTGATATATAGGTATGTATTTATGTTCCATCTGATACATTGGTGTGTATTTTTATTCCATTTTATATATAGTGGGATGTATATATGTTCTATCTGATTTATAGGTATGCATTTAATTTATGTTCCACCTGATACATAGGGATGTATTTATGTTTTAAACAAAGGGAGACATAAAACTTAGGTGGGGCATAGAAAAGATACGGCGAGTAGTTCCTCAATTCAGCCGACCTCTTTTCAATGTACCGGCCCTTCTACCACCCATATGTGTGTAATAGAGCTCTGATCACCGGTCCTTCTACCACCCATATGTGTATAATAGGGCTCTGATCACCGCTCCTTCTACCACCAATGTGTATAATAGGGCTCTGATCACCGGTCCTTCTACCACCCATATGTGTATAATAGAGCTCTGATCTCCGGTCCTTCTACCACCCATATGTGTATAATAGGGCTCTGATCACCGCTCCTTCTACCACCAATGTGTATAATAGAGCTCTGATCACCGGTCCTTCTACCACCCATATGTGTATAATAGAGCTCTGATCACCGGTCCTTCTACCACCCATATGTGTATAATAGGGCTCTGATCACCGCTCCTTCTACCACCAATGTGTATAATAGGGCTCTGATCACCGCTCCTTCTACCACCAATGTGTATAATAGGGCTCTGATCACCGCTCCTTCTACCACCAATGTGTATAATAGGGCTCTGATCACCGGTCCTGCTACCACCTACGTGTTTAATAAGGCTCTGATCACCGGTCCTGCTACCACCCATATGTGTATAATAGGGCTCTGATCACCGGTCCTGCTACCACCTATGTGTATAAGAGGGCTCTAATCACCGGTGCTGCTACCATCTATATCTATAATAGGGCTCTGATCACCGGTCTTGCTACAAACTATATGTTTAATAGGGCTCTGATCACCGGTCCTGCTACCACCCATATGTATTAAAGGGCTGTGGTCACCGGTCCTGCTACCACCTATATGTATAATAGGGCTGTGATCACCGGTGCTTCTACTTCTACCACCAGTGGGAATTATATTGTTCTATTATTTGTCTATGAATTAAAAGAAAAATTTCGTGACGTTTTTGTTCAATACATATTTAATCAATATAATGTTATTATTTTCTGTACAGTCCAGTAAGATCATCACTAAAGTTGTTATTTTCTGTACAGTCCAGTAAGATCATCATCAAAGCAGAATGCGATTATCACCCCGAGAGTTGGATGGTCTTCTTGTTTTTCAAGCTGGCTCCGTGGCTCAGAGACGACTGGCCAGGGGCGTCAAGCTCAATCAACCTGAGGCAGTGGCCCTCATATCTTCTGTTGTAAGTGGTACACCTTTTTGTTTACTTTCAACGTAGAGTGATCGGGAGGAAACGTGTCGTGACCGGTTGGAAATGTGGCGTGGCCGGTCAGAAATTTGACTTGACAGTTCTGAAATTTGACGTTACCGATTGGAAATGTGGCGTGACGTGACCGGTAGGAAATATGGCGTGACCGGTAGGAAATTTGGCGTGACCGGTAGGAAACTTGGCGTGACCGGTTGAATTAGATAAAACAGCGGTGTTCCACCACCCCTTCAATAGTCTGGCATTATCAAATGTAAAGGTTAGTCTATCTGTGATCACAATTTGATTAAAAATCTGGCTACGATCCTATTTTTTCTTCCCAAAGTAAAAGTTGTTTGATCAGCGGCAAATATTATGTTGTCATAAGAATATTTGGTTAAGTTATGCTCTAGATTACACGGATCAGCGACAAAGTGTCATTTATTAAGAATCTGATAATTACACATATAAAAGTCCCCACTCCTGCATTGTGTATGAGATTTTTATTTAAAAGCAGTTTGCACAAGCTAACAGGAGAATTGTAATGATTTCCCTTTGTGTACCGTACCACATATTTAATGTACTTTAGAAGGTGCCCACTAGTAGCTTTAGAAGCGGAGGGCCCATCATCCTACCACCAAGTAGGACTCCTTTGGACGAGCATCACCACGGAGGACCCAGCATTTTACCACCTAGTAGGACTCCATTGGAGGACTGATGCTAGGATCACCATTCTAGTGTTGAATTCCCTTTGTTAAGGAGGGGAGTAGTCAAAGCTGAACTGATAGTTCTGCAGTTTATGCAGGGAAATGCAACCCCCTCCCCAGTGTCGAACTTCGACTTGATGAGCTCTAAGCTATACAGAGTCCAGAGGCCCCCTACTGTTTTAAATTATATCAGCTGGGCAAAAATAAAATAAAAATCTATAGCCGGTAGATTGTGAGGCCCTAAACTGTAGCTCATTGAGCTGGTAGATCAATCCGGCACTGGCCTGCATGTTCACCCCACAGGTTATTGCTTATTCATGGCTATCATTAGTTAGAGGAGCTCCCACCCACACACAAAAATAAAGAAGTACAATCTGACACATGTGATGTGGACGTGTATTGTTGTCAATTAACACCCCTGATTAACCCATAGGTTTGTTGTAGCCTAATTTTTAAAAAAATCACTTACGAAGGAAGGGGATCGATTTGTTAGAATGATTGGTGGGTAAAGGGTGGGTTTGGCTGAGGGTAGGGAGAATAAAGTAAAGATCTCTCCCCAATAGACAGCGACGAGACCATGACAGGCAGTTCCGGTTCATACCAGCAAGAAGCCAGTTTTGGAGCTGCTCATTCCTGCCAACGACAATCGGGGACTGGAACAAGCTTCCAAAAAGGAAAAGTTGAGGCGACAACAGTTGACACGGTTGCATCTATTACTTCAAGCCATTTCAACCCCCAGTGCATGATACCCTCACAAAGTAGCCCTTGCAACCAATGAAGTATCCTCAACACCAGGCACAGAAACATTGCAAATCCCATCTACATGCATAGGAGGCGAAATGATCAATAACTTGATCAAGGGCCCTTGAGATGTATAGAAGAAGAGAAGATTGTGATAGGGCAGTGGTAGGAAGAAGAGGGTGGGGAGGGGGTGGAGGGTGAAACTTGGAATGACTGCATGGCCTTGTCAGTGAATTTGGTCGGGGAGAGCAGCAGGGTCTGGTAGAGCAGCAGGGTCTGGTAAAGCAGCAGGTTCTGGAAGAGCAGCAGGGTCTGGAAGAGCAGCAGGGTCTGGTAGAACAGCATGGTCTGGAAGAGCAGCAGGGTCTGGTAGAGCAGCAGGTTCTGGTAGAACAGCAGGGTCTGGTAGAGCAGCATGGTCTGGTAGAGCAGCAGGGTCTGGTAGAGCAGCATGGTCTGGTAGAGCAGCAGGGTCTGATAGAACAGCAGAGCAGGGTCTGGTAAGGCAGCAGGGTCTGGAAGAGCAGCAGGGTCTGGAAGAGCAGCAGGGTCTGGTAGAACAGCAGGGTCTGGTAGAGCAGCATGGTCTGGTAGAGCAGCAGGGTCTGGTAGAGCAGCATGGTCTGGTAGAGCAGCAGGGTCTGATAGAACAGCAGGGTCTGGTAGAACAGCAGGGTCTGGTAGAGAAGCAGGGTCTGGTAGAGCAGCAGGGTCTGGTAGAACAGCAGAGTAGGGTAGAGCAGCAGGGTCTGGTAGAACAGCAGAGTAGGGTAGAGAAGAAGGGTCTGGTAGAACAGCAGAGTAGGGTAGAGCAGCAGGGTCTGGTAGAGCAGCAGTGTCTGGTAGAACAGCAGAGTAGGGTAGAGCAGCAGGGTCTGGTAGAGCAGCAGTGTCTGGTAGAACAGCAGGGTCTGGTAGAACGGCAGGGTCTGGTAGAACAGCAGGGTCTGGTAGAACAGCAGGGTCTGGTAGAACAGCAGGGTCTGGTAGAACAGCAGGGTCTGGTAGAGCAGCAGGTTCTGGTAGAGCAGCAGGGTCTGGTAGAACAGCAGGGTCTGGTATTGTCAGAAACGAAGTGGAAGCGGCAGTGTATCAACAACATCTATCAGTTTTTTTTAAAATCTAAAAGTAAATTTGTTTGTAATACCGGTAGTAGGCCCTATACTTTATTAGATTGAACATTTGTAATACCATGAGTTGTATGCCCTATACCTCATTAGATTGAACATTTGTAATACCAGTAGTAGGCCCTATACTTTATTAGATTGAACATTTGTAATACCATGAGTTGTATGCCCTATACCTCATTAGATTGATTATTTGTAATACCAGTAGTAGGCCCTATACTTTATTAGATTGAACATTTGTAATACCATGAGTTGTATGCCCTATAACTCATTAGATTGAACATTTGTAATACCAGTAGTAGGTCCTATACTTTATTAGATTGAACATTTGTAATACCATGAGTTGTATGCCCTATACCTCATTAGATTGAACATTTGTAATACCAGTAGTAGGTCCTATACTTACTAGAATGAACATTTGCAATGCTGGTAGTAGGCCATATACCTTATTAGATTGAACATTTGCAATACCAGTAGTAGGTCCTATACCTTATTGGAGTGAACATTTGTAATACCAGTAGTAGGCCCTATAGCTTATTAGATTGAACATTTGTAATACCGGTTGTAGGCCTTATACGTTATTAGATTGAACCTTTGTAATACCAGTAGTAGGCACCATACCTTATTAGATTGAACATTTTGCAGTAATGCCTTCCTCAACAATTGTATTATTTAGTTACAAGAATTTGTTCGAAACGGATTGCGTGTAGCAGAGCTCATGGAAAAAGGCAGACAAATGTTGGGTGAGTTACAATTTTTGGCAGACAAATTTTGGGTGAGTTACTATTTTTGGTGTATCCCCCCATCCCCCAGCAATTTGGTAGATTAGTTAATGTTAATGATAACTGAATACACGGTTTCAAAATTTGAAATTAATGTATACACGGTTCCGAACTAAGAAGTTAATGTTGCAAATGAATAATCTTACCGTAGAGCCAATGTCTCAAAATGAACATCTTATTACAGGAAGAAATCAGGTCATGCCTGGTGTAGAGGAAATGATCAGTGAGGTACAAATTGAAGCAACTTTTCCCGACGGAACCAAACTGGCAAGTGAATCCTCCATCAATAACACACATTAATAAACTTATCGGATAATCTAAAGAAAAGGAAACATCAAACAGCATTTAATATAAACTATTAGCGACACTTTATTTTAAATTTAAAAATAATGTTTATTCTGTTTCTTTTCTTTTTTTTTTTAATCATTTTTTTTTTACATTTCCATTTTAAACTAAAAGAAGGATCTAATTTCTGTCATAGGTTACAGTACACAAACCAATAGTGAGAGAAAATGGTGACCTTGTTCTTGCTCTGTATGGAAGTTTTCTACCAGTTCCATCGCTTGAATTGTTCCAATCAACAAATGCAACAAAAGTAATTAAGTTTTTTTTTTTTTTTAATATATTCTTCAGGTTAAACTAAACAAAATTACGTTTTGTAAATTGGTTTCATAACCATGGGACATATTTTTTTAATTCAATGCTAGGTTTACGTTAAATTACTATTTTTAATGATGGCCTATGTATTCTTAGGACAGTGAGCAATCTTTTTTTTTTTTAAATTAAAAAAAAAGGTATTTGATTCGTTAATTTTTTTTTCGTTTGACAGTTTGATGGTCAAAATTATATTACATGTACTAATGATGTAACACCCGGCGAGCTGATTGTGCAGCCAGGGGACATAACCATAAATGAAGGGAGAGAATCTATATTTCTGGATGTCACTAGTTTTTGTGATCGGCCTATTCAGGTAACGAAGTGGCTATTCGAACCCGGGTACCAGAAGTGAGAGGTTGGGATTAAAATATATTTAAAATATTATCGGTGGGTAGGTAATGTTAGCAACAAAGAAATTGCAACTGGTATTTTTGAAACATAGTATTTTATATTCAAATGTAATTAGATATGTCTTTTATTACCAACTATTTATAATAATTATTATTATAATACTTGTTTATGATCCAAACATCTTACAGAGATAATGCAACCACTGACAAAAAAATGAAAACTTGATTAAAACAATTATATGAGAATGGCAAAAATGAAAAACTTAATAGACCAAAATTATTATTACTTATTTATTATTGTTGTATGTGTGGGGGTGGGTATTTTTATATTATGTTAAAAGAAACAGAAATTATTTCAGATTGGGAGCCATTATCACTTTGTAGAAACTAACAAATTCCTGACCTTTGACAGAGAAGCAGCCTATGGTAAAAGGCTGGTAAGTTTTACAAAAAGCAAGTCTTAGTAAATATAAATTCTTTAAAATAAAATTATATACATTCTAAACAAATTTATTATAAAGAACATCTGTATCATAAATCTTATCCAATTAATACAAAAAATGCAAGGTATAATTATAAGGAATTAATCTTTCATTTGAGATGCTAAAAAACTCATGCTATTTTTTAAATATTACCAGAATATACCAGCAGGTACAGCTGTAAGATTTGAACCAGGAGCTATCAAGACAGTACACTTGGTTGAGATAGGTGGAAAGAAGTTAGTAGTCTACATTCAGATTTGATTATACAGCATTCTCAATTCAAAAATATGAATGTTAATTGGTTAAATCACATTGACTTGGGGGGGGGGGGGGTTAACCAAACAAACATGATTGATTTACATAAGGGATTGATACAGATGTATAACGAGGTATTGAAGCAGGAGAATTTTGCTATAATTAAAAACAATTTTAAAATACAGCTACAAAAGACCACAGAAGCTATTTTTAAGCTCCATCTAGTATAAATATTTTTTATGGCTGCTACTAGAAACAGGACAGTGGATGACATATTTGATGAAGACCAAACAATTGAAAGCTGATGAGAGCACGTCACTAAACAAAGCAAGCACTTATTCTTGTTACAACTCATCCTCATTAAAATTAAAGCCTTATAGGACGTCATCAAAATTTATTTTTATTTTTCAGGGTTATCCGTGGAGGAAATAATTTGTGTGATGGTGAAATGACACATGCTAACTTAGAAGTTGTTATGAACAGAATTAATGAACTCAAATTTGGGCACAAGAAACAAGTAAGAAATAATTATGAAATAAAACAAATGTTTCTTCACATAATCCAAAATTTTTTAGGTCTGATGGTAGAATTTTAAATTATATGATACTTATAAAAAAAGACTTAGCTTGACTAAAATGTGTTAATCTCTTTTATATATTACGCTTCTGGTGTGACTCATGGACTGCTGCTGCTTCCACTTCTGGATGCTTCCTATTTGGTGTATTTGGTTTTGAAATTATATTACAAATAATTATATATGTTTTAAAGAAAGTATAGTTCAATAAATGAGTTCATTAGCATGCAAAATATAATTCCCGATAACTACACTAAATGATATATATATATATTTTTTTTAAGTTTAAAAGTGGTTGTGACATCAGTATACTTAATATAGTTCATGGGTGCAAAATAAAAAGTGTACAATGATGTATCATGGGGGGTGTATCCAAAATTGGGGTTCTTAAATGTGCATTACTTGAGTTTATGTTTTGTTAAGTAACTTTAGTAGATTGGAAGGTCAACCATAGCCGCCACCAATGTTTGGCGGGCTATATCTAGTCTAAAATAATTCATCCCTAAGGTGAAGTCTAATAAAAAGAATAATCACAATTTTGACACATTAAATTGTCCTAGGTTACCTGAATATATTGAAATTTGATTTCAGGAGGAAATACAAAAAGGCAAGCCAGAAAAGATATCTAGACACTTATATGCTAACACCTTTGGACCAACAGTTGGTGACAAGGTACAATTTATAATTATTTTTAATAAGACTATAATCTTATATAACAATTGTAAAAATATATGTACCAGAACTGTATCTTATTTCATGTGCAATATGTACAAGTGATGAGTTATTTCAATTATTTTTTTTAAAAATAGCTCATAAATAGTTTTGTTTTCTGATATGGTATAATATAGAGTAATAGATGGCTTTAAACTCTATCTACAGGTACGTCTAGGTGATACTAGTCTTATCATTGAAGTTGAAAAAGATTTTACAATCTATGGTGATGAGTGCAAATTTGGAGGTGGTAAGGTAATTAAAAATGATTTACTACTATGATTAGTAAACAAAGTAGTTCCTTATTAGCCCTTAAGCTTAAATGAATGATTTTTTTCATTGGCATTCAATTTTTCTTAATTGCCCTTTTTTATAGCAATGTTTTAACTAAACTTGTTATAGCAATGTTTTAACTAAACTTGTTATAGCAATGTTTTAACTAAACTTGTTATAGCAATGTTTTAACTAAACTTGTTATAAGTTATAGCAATGTTTTAACTACATTTGTTATAGCAATGTTTTAACTAAACTTGTTAAGCAATGTTTTAACTAAACTTGTTATAGCAATGTTTTAACTAAACTTGTTATAGCAATGTTTTAACTAAACTTGTTATAGCAATGTTTTAACTAAACTTGTTGTAGCAATGTTTTAACTAAACTTGTTATAGCAATGTTTTAACTAAACTTGTTATAGCAATGTTTTAACTACATTTGTTATAGCAATGTTTTAACTAAACTTGTTAAGCAATGTTTTAACTAAACTTGTTATAGCAATGTTTTAACTACACTTAATATAGCAATGTTTTAACTACACTTCTTATACCAATGTTTTAACTAAACTTGTTATAGCAATGTTTTAACTACACTTATTATTATAGCAATGTTTTAACTACAATTGTTATAGCAATCTTCTAACTACACTGCTTATAGCAATGTTTTAACTACACTTGTTATAGTAATCTTTTTACTACACTTGTTATAGCAATGTTTTAACTACACTTATTATAGCAATGTTTTAACTACAATTGTTACAGCAATCTTTTTACTGCAATGTTCATGTACTGGTAACAATAATGTTTACATTTTATTGTACATTATTGTAAAACTTTTGGAAAATGTATGTTTAAAGCCCAAACTTCATTAAAATAATTTTCTATACAAATCAGGTTTTAAGAGATGGTATGGGCCAGGCATCAAGACTGGACAGTGGTCAAGCGCTTGACACAGTAATCACTAATGCACTTATACTAGATGCAATCACTGGAATTATAAAGGCGGACATTGGCATTAAGGTACTTAGGTTCTTAAGCAGATTGAACTTGACATTGCTCATTATTGGTTAGCATTTAGAGATGATGATGTCACCACGTTTAATATTATAATGTCCATATACAGTTTGTAAATGAGCATAATGGTTGATATTTTAAACTTACTTACAAAGATATGTCCATTAAAACAACAAAAAGAACATATAAAGCTTAATTTGTTAAAAATAATTATTTTGATGAGATTTTTTAATGTCATCATCTATTATGTTCTATACACACTTCAGAATTCCCATAACAATTTTTATACAATATTGTTTGGAAATTTCAGGACAAGAAATAAACAAATAAAACATTCCAAATTTTTTCATCATTTGATTACAAGTTAACATCATTAAAAAATACTTATTAAAAAAAAATTAATAATTTTACAAAACATTTTTGACATTATTAACAATTAAAGTAAAAATAATCATAGCAATAGCTCGAAATTAGAATTCTTATCTCATAAAGGAACTAAAAGGTTGACAACTACGGAAAAATTTATGTTACATTTAAATTATGACTTTCCGATCAACAGAATGGTAAAATTGTTGGTATTGGCAAGGCTGGAAACCCTGATGTTATGGATGGGGTAAATAAGGTAATGGAACATTTATCTTATGACAATGTCCTTCAGTTTTGTGGAGAATTTATTTTATTTTATAAAATTTAAATAACTTTATTTTTCATCATACAAAGTAAGCCACCAGCTTGATGTTTTAAGTTTTAAAGGTTAAATGTATAGTCAGTTTTTTTTTTCAAATTCCTTATCTGTGTTATATTTACAATGTAAAATCCAGATGTAAATGTGGCAGTCAAGGAATCCATGGGAAATAAATATTTAAATTAACTTTTAGATTTTATGTCTCTTGCAGACACAATAAACATTTCAGAACATCACTGATTCTCGAGGTATTAGAAGTATAATTTTGTTCAAAGTGGAACAAAAATTACATCAATATTTATAAGGAAGTTTAAACTATTATACAGGATATTTTAGCAAAATTAAAATATTTAAATATAATTTCAAATTTATTCCATCAGAATATGATAGTTGGAGCTTGTACAGAAGCAATTGCTGCAGAAGGAATGATAATAACAGCTGGTGCAATTGACACTCATGTACATTTAATCTGCCCTCAACTGGCCAAAGAAGCCATAGCTTCTGGGATAACATCTCTGATAGGTGGGGGAACGGGACCAGCTACAGGCACCAATGCAACTACTTGTTCACCTGGGACGAATCACATCAGGTATTTTACAAAACATGTAGTAAACTTACCGTAAAAAGTTATTTTATGATATAAATTAAAATATTAGCTTCATGGCACATTTTAGTGCTGTTTCCTGCCTCTTGTAAAGAGTTATTGGACTTGAATTAATACATGATGGTTACAGCTTTGGATAAATAGCAGAATGGAACTGACTCATTAGCAAACTGAGTCATCTATTTCTTGGGAGTAAGTAAACTTTGGGTAAAGTCCTCAACCACAAAAGTAGGAAGATGGCGAAAATTTTGCATACCGGTATGAGTTAAAAAATCAATTGTCCACACAAACAATCAGTTATAGCTTTACCAGTTAATCTGCTGCAGCTGGAATAAATCTGAATTTTAAAAATAAAACAACATTATAAAATAAATAAATTGCATGAGTGTTTAATATTTTGCATTTGAATAATAATAGACTATTTAAACATTTATAGCACAATTGTTTTTTCGAATTTCACTTGCTAGGATAGGAACTTATGGGGATTATTAATTTAAAGAAAAAATAAATTATATAATTTTTTTTTAAAGTTTAATATAAATGTGTCCAAGTGAAATATAACTTATTGTGTCTTAAATAATGAAGAACCCACACTTTAACTTTTAAGGGTTTTAAAAGGTTTCTCAAATTTTTAAAATTATTTTCAATTGAACATTTATTTATAATTTTAAGTCTGATAAATATAGTTTGTTATATAAACTAAGGCAATGTCATAGTCATTTTGAGGAGATGTGCTTATTGTTAAAATGAAGTAAGCAAATCATTATAATATTTAAAAAGAAGAAATATTTCTTCTATGAAAGTTAGTCCTTAATTTAAAATCTTAATAATTGTATCAGTACTCAAAATGTTCCTATGTTCACTTGCACAGACATATTATGCAGGCAACAGATTGCTTCCCACTCAATTTTGGTTTTACTGGCAAAGGAAACACATCACAAACTGACAAAGTACCAGAGGAATTATGGGAACAGATAAAAGCTGGAGCAATGGGGTAAATATCATCTCATTAAAAGCATATATTTTAAAATTACCTATCCTCATTATCAGCTATGCTACCATTTCATTTGCTCTGTAGAACAAGGTTCAGACAACATTACTTCCCTTTCTTAAGTTTTCGTTTTGTTTTTCCTCACTTCCTTCCTTTATTCTGCTACTGATAGATTAAAGCTTCATGAAGACTGGGGCAGCACTCCTGCTGCTATTGATGCTTGTCTAAATGCAGCTGAGAAGGCAGATATACAGGTAAATAAATTCCAGAGCTGTTCCTTGGGCAATACTATTTAGGTACTTGTTATTTGGTCCAAGAAGCTGAGTGTGCAAATGACAAACCAGATTTTAAAATGAGGAATTAGTATGTTTTGGAGTTGCCAAAAAATATTTATTCTTATTAGGACAAACATCCTAAATATAATGATCATTAATAATCTTAAGCAGTCTTGAGTTTCCATATTCATAATAAATATATTTCCCATCATTTGCAAATAAAACAAAATACATTGCTATGCCTATTATTTTTATTTTTTAAAAATCTACTTTCCTTAAAAATATTTATTGCATTTAAAGCTTAATAGACATACAATGTTGTTATTGAATATTAAAACACCTATTTGTATAGGTAATGATCCACACTGATACACTGAATGAATCAGCTTGCGTTGAAAGAACTATTGAAACATTTAAAGGACGAACCATACACACTTATCATACAGAAGGAGCTGGTGGAGGACACGCCCCAGATATCATTAAGTAAATATTTGAATTTGATAGTCTATCAATATTTCTAATTAATGGTTACCGAATGTTTGTATGAAAGAAATTTGTTAGAAGGAAAATGGTGCAATGGAAGTGGAAGTTTGTTCAAGTAGAGTTTGGTCAAAATGAAGTAATAGGGAAAAAACAAGAAAAATTTAGTTAAAATTGTTCCTTTTGCCACCTACAACTTACCTGAAAACAATGAACAAATAAATAAATAAATATATATTCTATTTAAAAAAATAATTTTGAAAATACTTCCATCAAATTTCTTTTAAACAATTTTCTTTCAATCAATTTCTTGATACACTAATGAATACAGTACATCATAAAATTATTTTTCCAAAGCTTTGGTACCGTTACGTCTCACTTCACAAACATCAAGTGAAAATAAAAACTTTTTGGGGTGAAAATGCCAGTAGGACAATTAAAAACTTAAAAATATGTATTATGGAATTGTGTTTAAAAAAATAGACTGTTATTCAATATTTGCAGAGTTTGTGGTATAAAGCATGTCTTGCCCTCCTCTACCAATCCCACTCGCCCTTACACAGTGAATACTTTGGATGAACACCTTGATATGCTGATGGTTTGTCACCATTTAGACAAGTATGATCTCTAAATAATAACTTACTTGACAATAAGAATTTACTTTACATATGTTGAAACCATTAAAATTCAATATACCATAAATATTTATAATTGCATCAAACCTAAAAATAAATTAACATTTACACATATAAAATTATCATTTTAGCTTTACAAAAATTAATAAATTTGCTAATAAAATAAAATAATTTTTGCATTTATCAAAATGGTTTATGTAAACATTTCATTTGTTAAAAGACTCATTTGTTAAAGGACTTTATTCCTTTTTTGGTTAGAAACTTGAAAGAAGATGTGGCCTTTGCAGAGTCTAGAATTCGTGCAGAGACCATTGCAGCAGAGGATATACTTCATGACCTTGGTGCAATCAGTATGATGGGTTCTGATTCTCAGGTGAGCATGGCTGTAACTTCAGTTGCAACTTTTTCAAGCTCTTGATAAGCTCATTTTATTATTCATGCTCAAATCCAAGTTTGTGACTAACTAACAAACAGTCCAAAAAAGAATAATTTTCATATCTAATTTATTTTCCTAAAACTATATTAAAAATTTGAAGCATCTGCCTCCTTTATATTTCAACTAATTTTAATGAATGCATTTAATTAGTGTCAAAATGAAGTAATAGGGAAAAAACAAGAAAAATTTAGTTAAAATTTTTCCTTTTGCCACCTACAACTTATCTGAAAACAATGAACAAATAAATAAATAAATATATATTCTATTTAAAAAAATAATTTTGAAAATACTTCCATCAAATTTCTTTTAAACAATTTTCTTTCAATCAATTTCTTGATACACTAATGAATACAGTACATCTTAAAATTATTTTTCCAAAGCTTTGGTACCGGTACATCTCACTTCACAAATAATGAAACAAACTTAAATTAATTTTAGTTTTACTGTATTCTATAATTCTATCAATAAATGGGAGGAGACATCTAAAAATTAAACATTTGAAAGTAAAAAGCTTAGTTTTTAGTTTGGAAGGAAAATAAAGTAAGCCTACTCATTGACATTATTTTTTTCTCTTTGATTTTAGGCTATGGGTCGTATAGGTGAGGTTATTATCAGAACATGGCAGACAGCAGACAAGATGAAACAATTTCGAGGAAAGTTGGTTGATGAGAAGGTAACAGCTAAAATCATTCATTTCATTGTATAGCTTGTGAAATACTACTTGATTATGTTTTTTTCTAATTCAAAACAAAAACACAAGTCCCTTTTAATTTGCAATTTTCTTTCCTCTAAAGGTTTTTGCGCCCACTCCTATTTTGTTCTCTTTTTTATATGTATGATATATGTATATATATATTATGTAAATATAATTTATACTTATTTAAATGTTTTGTTGTTATACTGATGAAGGCATGTGCTGAGAAACGTTTATACTTGTGTGTTATGTACAATTATAATTAAAGCTTATAATATTTTGTTATATTGACACAAGTTGTTGATGTCTAATTAATCTAAAGGGAGATAATGACAATATCAGAGTGAAGCGTTATGTGGCAAAGTATACAATCAATCCTGCCATTGCTCATGGAGTTGCTGGTCTTGTTGGTTCTGTAGAGGTTAGGAGTTTTGATTTTTTAACCCTTTAAAATGGCTTTTTTGTTATTCCATGCTTTAAATCTTTTTAAAAGAAAATACTAAAAATCATTAACATCAAATCAGTATGGATAGTGGTGCTTTTCAAATGAATATTGATGAAAGTTTAGAAACATTTAAATTTAACATTTATTAAAATCAAAAAAGGTTTTTTAATCATTTTTTTTATATACAGGAAGGCAAACTGGCTGATTTGGTACTCTGGACTCCAACTTTCTTTGGAGCCAAGCCAGATATGATTCTAAAAGGAGGACAAATAGCCTGGGCTCAGATGGGTATGAGAATTTAAATGTGAATATTTATCTTGTTAGTTATATATTGTTTCATTTAGTATTAAAATGTCATTTTCCAGCCAATTCAATTGCCTAATTGGCAAAATTTTCACATTATATATTTTTTGATTTAGATTAAAAAGTACTATTTTGTGTATTTAGCTAAGTGAAAGAATCAAAACAATTAGTGATATGATCCTGCCTAGTTGGAAAAATGTAAAAATATTTTCCACATTTGTTAACTCTTAAGTTTAACAAAAATCATCAAAATTGTCTGTAAGATTAGTAAAGAGTAAAAAATATTTTACACTGTTTTTTTTTTAGGTTTAGCTAATGCTTCGATACCAACACCTGAACCTGTTAAGCAAAGAAAAATGTTTGGAGCATATGGGAAAGCCGTTGGACCACAGTCATATGTCTTTGTAAACAAAGTATGTCATTGTAGTCATTATTATCAAATAGAATTTATAATATTTTCTTGACACTAAGAAAAAGAATTTATAAGAATGACTTATGCATTGTAAGATGCAATATAATAAATTGAATATATATGTACAACATTCATGAGCCAGTTTTGTCATATTCCAGTATTATTTAATAGTATCCACAGCAAAAGATAGACATTAGATAATATATAATTAATTTATAACAAAACTCTTTCCCTTCACCAGATTGCTGTCCAGTTCAATATATTAAAAGAGTATGGCTTATCAAAGCAATTTTACCCTGTATCTAACTGTAGGAGTATAAGCAAAAAAGATATGGTGCTTAATGATTTTTGTCCAAAACTTGAAGGTAAGTACTCTTTTCTCAGTAGACTAGCATCTTGTCATAGCAAATGTCATTGTTGAAACAGCCTTAATATTTTCATCAATTTCTGCTTTATGTTTCTTAGATTTATTTTCTAAATTTTTATATAATAAATATACTCAAAATATAATACATTTTTTAAAGTTAAAGAAAACAATTCTCATAAAGAAAAAAATGCTTGGGTACTTTCTTGTGAATAAGGAATAAATGAAGAAATGTATGCAAAATGTATGATTCTTTAAATTTACATCTCTCTGCAATAAATTTACATGTACCAGTATTAAAATTAAATAATAAGTAGCATTAAAAAGGTATAAATACACCATAACTTGTACTATTAGCTTAAGAAATTTTGACAATTGTCAAATATATTTTCCCAAAGTTAGGCCTAAACTTCTTTAAATATTATTTAAAAAATAATTACATTTTATTTCATTCAGTGGACCCACAGAGCTACTCTGTCACACTTATTCACAATGGGATGAAGAACATTGAGTTACTGACCTGTCCTCCTGCAGACAGACTACCTTTGGCACAAAGATATTTTTTATTTTGATTTTAACTTACCTTATCACTTGGCTGAGAGCTTCAAACCTTATCACTTGGCTGAGAGCTTCAAACCTTATCACTTGGCTGAGAGCTTTAAACCTTATCACTTGGCTGAGAGCTTCAAACTAGAAAAGAAAGTACCTGTAATGATGCCAATATTTTTTTTTTGAGACATGCTTTCTCCACATGTGTATATATTTTAACATGATTTTAGTTTTAAAAAACATATAATATATGTCATCATCTTTCTTGCTCTCCCACCCCCACCCAAGATTAATAAAATTGCAAGGGTGTGCACCATTTTCTTTTTTTACTTTTTAAATTAATTACAAAACAATTTTGAGGTTAAAAGCTTACATCAAAGTTTTTTCCTATCGATACATCTGTTATTGAGTCATAAGAACTGCTGGGCAAGGGAAAATACTTCCAGCTTTCTTACCTATCCCCCTCTAGACCTGTTGGGGGCCCTTCTTGCACCGGGACAGTATGTTAGTTAACATATTACAACTGGTACCTTCTTGTACAGTACGTTAGATTATATATTACAAATGTTACTCTTCCATCTGCCATCAAGTATGGTTTCATCTAACAACCCCCCCCCCCCCCCCCCCCCCCCCCCCCCCCCCGCTCTTTCCAACTCCAGCACAAGGCTTTCAGGTCAGAAGTTCCTTGAGAGCAGGTGTGGTCTCTTTGTGGGTTTAACCTATGGAAATAACTAGGAATTCCTGCTGTCACTAGTGACAAATTAAATTCAAGATATCCACAAAACAGCACCTTAATTCAGTTTCAATTTCCCTAAGCCATTATTACTTCTTAACACCAAAAGATCCAGAAGCAAACTAAAAAAAAATAAACCTTCCAACAGTTAAGCTAGATGTAAATTATTTTAAATGCATTATTAGTAATTAGTTGAAAAGTTTTAATATGGCCATGTCAAAAAGATGTATTTCTCTTAATAAAAGAATACTACAAAGATTGTTTTTTTCATATTATTTTTGTGTAACCTGTAAACTTAAATTTGTGAAAATGTTGACATTCACAGTACTTAACATTTATTTAGTGATAAGGCTAATAGTTAACCACTACCATATGGCAAAATATACTTAAATATACTTATGTAAATAGAATATAATGTATATGTACTCTGTGATTTTCATAATTTTGAAGTTTATTTTTAGATCGTCTTTGAGTTTTGGCTAGAAATTTGGGTAACCTTCAGTGAACCAGCAAACCAGGTGTAAACCCTCTTCTAAAAGTGACAATAATTTCCGTCTGGCTACAACTCTATTGAATTCAAATCTATTTGATGCGCTGCCAAAATTGTTACAGGTGTTATTAAAAATAATAAAGTTTTACGTAATTATAAAAGAATAGCATATGATTTTTAAAACATCCCTTTCCCCTTCTAACCAAACTAATAGTCAAGTGAGCCACTACAGATTAGTCTAGTGGAAAGTGATTTAATGAGTCGTACTATACCTATACCTTGTATTTAACAATTATTTAAGATTTATAAAGGTATATATATTTTTATATATATATATATATATATATATATATATATATATATATATATATTATTTTTATTATTATTGTGATTTGTATACTTAAATAAATATATATATATATATATATTTTTATATATATATATATATATATATATATATATATATATATATATATTATTTTTATTATTATTGGGATTTGAATACTTAAATAAATGCCTAGGGGTCGTTCGCAAATTACATCACGCTAAAAATTACCTTTGAAGACCCCCAACTCACAAATTCTTAACCCCCCCTCCCACGTGTCACGTTACACCTAAAAAAAATGAAAACTTACATTAAATTTTTATGACTAAACCAAGATTTTATTTTATTCTTTAACATTTTCCCATAATGTAGTGTTATTAACTGTTATAAACTGCAGTTATTAAGCAGTTATAAACTGTGCCCCCCCCCCCGAGTCAATGTGCTCCTGATGCTACCACGGCTTCCTCTATTGATCTCTCCGTCATCGGACAGAGGACGACTTAGCCGGCGATGAATCCTGCGACTTGAGTCTGTCGCCAGGCGTAGCGCTGTTTTCACCTGTAAGGAGGAGCGCTACAGGTCTGGGCTGTTTTCTAAAGTCCCGAAGGCGTCCTTAATTGTTGTGTATTTTGTTAGTGAAACTGTTGGGTGGGGGGGGGGGCGTGATGTTATTGTGGGATTTGTATTTTTATGAACTGTTTTTATGATGTTGACATAGGGAGGGGGTCATAATCAAACTTCACGGTACATGCCTTGCATGCAGATGGCAGGTGG